CTGAAACACAGGAGTTCAGTTCCAGCTGAACATCAGGAAACGCTTTTTTACTGTGAGGGTGGCTGAGCACTGGCACAGGTTGCCCAGGGAGGTTGTGGAGTCTCCATCCCTGGAGATATTCCAAAGCCATCTGGACATGGTCCTGGGCAACCAGCTCTAGGTGGCCCTGCTTGAGCAGGGGGGTTGGACCAGATGACCTCCAGAGGTCCCTTCTAACCTCAACCATTCTCTGAGTCTGTGATTCTGTGATTTTGTATGGTTGAAGTTACAAACACAGTCTAGCTTTGACAGCTAACATCTGGTCTTTAGCAACTGTACAGAAAAAGACTAATGCTCAGGCTACCCTATGGCTTCCCTTCACTATCCATTAACCAGTAAGAAATGTATTTGCTACTCACCAGCTTGCGCTTATGGGAATTATCATTTGAAACACATAGTGGGAAAGCACATTTTGCATCTCCAGTACTGTTACCCATACTGGGTATATTCAGATATCCACACTGAGCATCTAAGACTGTAAGACAAAAGGCAGTTCTGAATCAAGCTTTGCTATTTCTGTGCATGTTGTTCTGCAATACAGCTGTAATTGTTAAGTGCAGTATAGCTTTACACTGTAATAGTATAACAGATTATCTTCTGCTTTTGGGGTTTTTTTGACCCAGCTGAATCAACTTAGCTCTGGGAGGAACTGGACTCCTTCTGTCTTGTGCACCAACACCAAAAGTCTCTTGTTCTGTCTGTGCAAATACAAAACTTACATCCCATCACCCAGTTTTAGAGCAAGGGGAAGATCTTGTGGCAAATCCAAGGGCCTTCCTGGACCATTGTACATCCTCTTTCCTTTCAGTACTGCTAGAATTTGTCATTAACCCCATCCACCTCCTGTCTACTGGATGATGAATAGATCCATCCACTGCATACTGCTTGAATTCATCCAGCCATCTAGTTAGAGGTGAAATATCGCAATACACACACACACACAGGGTGCTCTCTGAAATTTTAATCTCCTTAACCCAATTACATAGTAAGAGATAATGCTGTACGTACAACTGCTGAGTCTGCAGAGGCAGAATGAGGCGAGCGGCAAATCAAAAAGCAGCACTTTTTTTTTTTGCTGCTGTAGGTTGGAGCAACCTGCTGCAGATGCACAATGGCTTTGATCAGCTGTCACGTCCTTAACTGGGGGAGACAATATTGGTGCTATTCCCTCTTTGCTCTTCCTTTTTCTTGTGGGAGCTGTGACTACCTTTTTTTCCTTTTGTTATCTTCTTTGCATTTTCACTATACAGGCAGTATTTTATCTATGTTGGCTTTATGTTCTTTGTCCTCTTTCTTATGTCTTCTTTTCTCAAAGCTGCATTACCTTAGTGATCAGTAATTGATACTTTGTGATGTGTGTTTATGCTTTTGTGGGGCACTGGTATCATCTTGTGCTTGTACACTTCGTTCCTCTGTAATCAACCTTTGCTTATATTCCCCATGGCCCATACACATGGAGAATTTTATTGAAGCTGATTCTAAGAATATACTCCATTTTCAGACTGGATCCCAAGATTATGCTACCATATCAAACAACCCTTTCTTCAGCATTTCCAAGTATATTTTGGACTTTGCTATTAATTTTCCTATGAGATGCAACTGCAGCTCAATACAGTGTTGGGTTTTTTTTTGTTTTTTTTCCCCCGAAAACGGAGCATTATCTATCCACTATAAACCAGATGAAAAAGAGAACTGAGTTGGAATGGCGAAAGATCCAATCGTATTATCCTTTGGTTTGACAGCAGAGGTCAAATTTGATAGCTCTGTGCTTATGAAAAAAAATGAAATATGACCAGACTATATGGATGCCTGTTTTCCACAACCTTCTGAAACTCTTTACAGGTTCGTCCAAACTGGCTGAAGGTCTGAAAGGTGGATTGTCCCTACAAGATTTTCAGAAACAAGCAATAAAGAAAAAGAGGAAGGCCTTCAATGTGTCCACCTCTTACAAACATCAGAAAATCCCCACAGCAATCCCCACAGCAATCAATAAAACTACAGGAGACAATTTTTTTTTTTTTTTTTTGGATCTGCTGCCAAAATCTACTGATTTTTATCTTCAGAAAGGTTGTGGAGCCTTTCCTCTTCACCCATCCCAGGGTCAGCAAAATCCAAAGGCAGCCCTGGCCTCTCCCTACAGAGGCCGCCCTGCGGCCCCACCACCAGCTCCTGGGCATGGGCACCCTGTACAGTCTCAAATGTAGAAGTTTTGATGTGCAATCCAGAAAATGATCCATACTCATCTTTGTGGGCATATAACTACTTTGTGACATCAAGAGGTAAAACATACTACTGTCTTTTTCGTAGTTAGCCTGCATGATTAGGAATTTATAGTGAATAGGGGTATATGGCAAAAGAAGTCGATGTTTTTATACTCCATTTACCAGAGTAGAGCTGATTAAATAGATCCCAGGGCTGAGAGGCTTATATCATGTAATAATTTATTCTGGAATTGGAAAAATTGAGTCAGTGCACAAGAAAAATCCAAGATGATCAGATCCAATAGATCAGATGATGCCCAAATTCAACTTTGGTTTATGTCTTTGTGGTATATAAATTTTCTTTTCAGCTCTCAGTATATGCAGCATTATTATGAAACTTCATTTCTTTTATCCTATATCCATTTCAAATTGCAACCAAAGAAAATGCATCAGTTCAACCAATCAGCCTAAATTAATGGATATATTCTACTTCTCTTCAGTACACTTTAAGAAAGACTATTTATCTTTATCTTACATTAAACATCTGTGGAGAATCATAAAGCACTTTAAAGAGGCTAAAAAGACCCCAGAATTTAATAGCAATGTTTTCATTCTAACTGCTGAGATTTTTGCATGATGTTTTTCAAAATTAGGTATACAGCACTTTCAAAGAATGTATCATGAACTTGACTATGTGCTGAGGGATATTATGGGCACTATTTGGACCCAGACTGCTACTTAAACAACATACTTTAAGTGGAGTTTTAGTGGTTCAGTTATAAATGCAGCTTATTAGTTTTCTACCTTAAGGATGAAAACAAGATCTAACACAAAAAATTCTTTGATTCTTCCTGAGTTGAATTTGCTTGCTCTATCCCATTTGGCTAGAAGCAAAAGCTGGTTTGAATCAGAAGCATTTTCTTTCTGCAGCACCAAATTAAGTCTTCCTTTACAGAAAACCAGTTTCAAATCCATTAGCAAGGTAATGTAGGTCACTTGATTTGTTTTTTGATTGGAGTTTCTCTGAATTTTTCTCTTTGAAATAACAGTGGCCTTAAAATTGGTAAAAAACCAAATGCATATGTTTTTACTATAGTATTGAATACTCACTGCCCAACTAAAAAGTCAAAAGAGACATTCAAGCACATACATATCCTCAAATCAACTGCTTTGTAGACAGCAGAGCTGCTGGAAGCTTCCCCTATGTCCAACAGAGCCAACCCCAGCTGGCTCCAA